GAGATCCGTGGTGAGTCTAAGCCAAAGAATGACAAAGGTTGTCAGGAGCAAGAGAGACATGCAACAGAGTCTCTCTTAGAGCTCTCAGAAGGAACGAACCAACTTTGCTGACACCTTGACCTTGGCCGTCAACACTGAGAGGTAATGACTTTCTACCCAGTTTTCTATGCTGTGTCATGACATCTTTAGAAAAGGAGTTCAATCTTCATCATCGCTATAGTCTTCACCATCATAATCCTCACCACTGACACTGTTGTCATCTATCCACCTGTCATCTGTCTGTCTGTCTGTCTAGCTATCATCTAGCTATCTACCATCTATTCAACATCTATCAACCAATCATTTATCATCTATCAATCATCTATGTCTATTATCATCTATTGCCTAACATTTATCTATCATCTATCTTCCTACCATGTATATGTCTGTCTATCTATCTATCTATCTATCTATCTATCATCTATCTATCATCTGTCTATCATCTATCTATCTATCATCTATCTATCTATCATCTGTCTATCATCTATCTATCTATCTATCTATCTATCTATCTATCTATCTATCTTCTATCTATCATCTATCTAATGATTTGCTGTTCTTGTTTTTCTGCTACGATGGAGCAATGGCCTCAGTCACACTCTCATTCTCAAGGATACTCAGGAGCCTGTAGGGATCATGGGCTGGGTCAGTACTGTGCATGCAATCCCATCCAGAATCTGAATCCACACTTAATGTGCTTCTGGCCATACAGAGAAGGTGTTCCCTGGCCTGATGCCAGCAACCTTCAGTGGAAGTGTCAATCACCTTTAGATGCGTTACTCAAGTAGCTTATAATGGATTTTATTGCTAGAGCTAACCAAGGACATTAGTCAGGTACACAGCAATCATGACTCAGAGGAATAAATCTGACTTGTGTGCAGGTATTTAGAACAGCTGGCTGAAAAAGCTCAGGGCTGTTTGAATTTGCACAAACAGTAAGGGGACATGGCTCTTACCTTTCCCATGGTGCCAGGCACCATGCTAACATAAAACCAGCCCCCTCTGTTTTTGCTCATTTAGATGATCTCTTTCCAATATAAGCTGAGCCCCTAACTTGTTTTTCAGTGTGCAGACCCAAGGCCTTGTGCATGTTGGGGAAGTGCTGCTGCCCCTGAGCTATATCCCTGGCAAATGCTTGTCCGAATGTATTTGTCTGTCTTCCATTCCTTCCTGCCTTTACCCTAAGAGACTTTTCTTGTGGAAAGAGCAAAGGATAAACAGCTTCAACAACCCAAACAATTAGGATTGGAACCTTCAACTGTATTCTCATTCTGATTATTGGTGTGCTGTATGTGTGAATGTGCACATGTGTGTTGTATATACATGTATGTGTGGGTGTGTGCACATGTGCATGCAAGTGTAGACACACGTGTATGTATGCATGCATGTGGAGGTGAGTGGTCAATGTCGGATGTCCTCTTCACTAAATTCCCATCCTACATTTTGAGACAGGGTCTCTCATTGAACCAGTAGCTCAACAATTTGTCTAGGTTGCATGGCCACTGACCCCGAGGGATCAGCCTGCTTGTGTGCCTCCACCCCTGGGGTTATGGATCCTGGCAGCTGCATCCATCTTTTGTTAGTGCTGGAGAATCTGAGCTCAGGGCCTCAGGAGCAAAGAGCACCTTACCAACTGAGCCTTTTCCCTGCCCCGCTACAGTATTAGATTTTTATGGTTCAACTATTGCAGCACACACAATTTCTGGCAGACTAAAGAGGTATTTTGGAGCCTGTCAGTTTTTAGGGTTCTTTTGTTTTTTTTTTTTTTTTTCTGGTAAAGCCTACAACCGTTCAAACTCCATTGTCGTTAGAAGAAGCTATCCAGTTTGCAGCTTCACGTTTATAATTTCGACAAAATTTTACGCTTGCATTTTAAAATGAAGATTGTTTAAATGTGCGGCAGTTTGCAAAGCCTGTAGGTACTTGCAAAGACCGCAGCTGTCTGCAGAGCTCTTTGAGGTTTGTGGATGCTATTATTGCTTGTAAAAGCTGTCGAAGTTGGCTGCTGTGCCTGTTAAATGATGGGCACTGGGTTCCAATGTGGTTTGTTGCCCAAAACGTTCATACACTAGAAGCTCGGTTGTCAGCACGGGGATATTACAGGTGATGGGACCTTTAAAAGGCGGGGCCTGGGGGGACGTGTTAGATCTTTGTAGGGCTGCCCTTGCATTTTTACTTCACTTCTGTTGCTGTGTTAAAATGTCCTGACATAGAGCAGCTTAGGGAAGAAATGGTTTGTTTGGTTCACAATTCCAGGTGACAAGCATCCTGTGGGGATACCAGGGTAGGAACTTAAAACATTACATAAAATTACATCAACAGCAGAACAAGAACTCACATGTGGATCATTGATTGCTTCCTTCCTTGCTTTCTCTTAGATTTCTTTCCTCTTATAATGTTCAGGACCCCCTACCAAAGGAATAATGCTAGGTCTTCTCATGTCTATTAACCATCAAGACAACCTTCCCTCAGATATGCTCACAGGACAACCTAATATAGATAATTTCTCAGTAAGACTCTCTTCCCAGATGATTGACTCTAGATTGTGTCAATCTGATGGTTAAAGCTTCCACAGTTTGAAGGGTTTAATACTGTCTTACGGAATGAGTTAGTGCTCATGAGAAAGGGTTTCTATAGAAAAGCTAGCCTGCCCCTTCCCCTAGCATCTGGCCTCAACACATGATATTCCTCTTCCCTTCTTTCCTTCTCCCCTCTTTCCCCATCCCCCACTATTACCAGCTCCACCATGCTGGGACCTAGCAGGGATGCTATGTGGTCTTGGACTATGGGCCTCCAAAAGAGTGAGCTAAGCAAAACTGCTTCCAAACAACCTTGCTTTGCTTAGGGTGTTTTGTTACCCTAAGAAGTCACACTTTGCTTCTAGCTGGTTTTTTTTTTTTCTTCCCTGAGCTGACAAGAGGTATGTCTTTATGTCAGTGAAGTATATGCGCAAATTGTACCAAAAGATTTGAAAGACACAGAAGTATAAACAAAGGCTCTGAGCCGGGTATGGTGCCTCATGCACACCTTTAATCCCAGCACTCAGGAGGCAGAGGCAGGTAGGTCTCTTGAGTTTAAGACCAGTCTGTTTTATAGAGCGGCTGCTACACAGAGAAATCCTGACTCAAACAAAACAAGACATATCAAAACAGAACAGAAAGGCTCTGGCTGAGAAAAATTTGGGGCTCGGGGGCTGGGAAATTGGTGCGCACACCTGGGCCACCCTGAGAACAGACCTAGAGGGTCTGTTTATGACAAGAGAGGATGTTAGCTCCTCAAAGAATCTACTTAACAGGGTCCTCTCACTGAGACTGCACACATTTGAATTAGGACAACTCCCCTCTGTTTGCAGTATCTTGTCCTTGTCCCTGATCCATGACCACAGCTTTCAAGATAAACCCCAAATGGAAGCAATCAATGAAGGAGGACAACTTAGAACAAAGTATGTTGGCACACATACATGAAAGTGTCATAATGAAGCCCATTATTATGTATGTGGGCATTTTTGGAAAGTGGAAGCAGGAGGTCAGAAGTTCAAGGTCATCTCTCAGCTCCACTGCGAGTTTGAGGCCAGCCTGAACTACAAGGAACTCTGTAGAAAGAGAGAAAGGAAGGAAGGAAGGAAGGAAGGAAGGGAGGGAGGGAGGGAGGGAGGGAGGGAGGGAGGGAGGGAGGGAGGGAAAGAGAGAAGGTGGAGGAAAGGGAAAGGAAGGAGGGGGAAAAGAAAAGAAAAAGTTGGCACGACCTGCCCCTTTCCATAATTCTCGGGTCTCAAATTAATTACAGACCTGTGTGTTCTTCTCCCAGTGGATCTACTTTGTCTCAGGAATTCCTACCTAACCCTCAAGATGAAACGGGATTTGAAAAGCTGGCTGCAAGTTTTTAGCCAGCGAACAGCCTACAGTGGAAGAGACATTGTGAAGTAGAACCCTTGGGCATGGCTATGCAATCACCTAAAAGCTCATCCCTGCATATTGAGATATGGGGTGCAGTGTCCTGCGGCAGGGGTGAACCCCAGCTGCTCTGCCTGGAAGGCTTGTCTTTAGGCACACCCTGCTCTTTGGTCACAGCTGCAGTCCAACCCAGTCCCTGTAAATCAAATCCTTTTTTCCAGTAAATTACATGCCCGCTCTGGAGCAAGGACATGCCCAGAATGAGAAGTGGATCTAACCTCCGCTTGAGTTGAAAGACAACTCAATTAGTTCAAGCCAGTGACTCTTGCCTCACCAAAAGGTCCTATTGCAGCCACTCAGCCTCTCTACTAGTTCCTGTTTGTTTTCTTAAACTTCGCTTGGGCTGTGACTCAGTACATGTAATTGATGGCTGTTGCCAGTCCACCGTCCAGAGAGCTCCATCCTTCCCTCCCCAGTTCCTGTTGCACTCCTGGATCCGCTTGCATCCTTCTCTGGGGAAAACAGTTTTGTTTTTTTTTTTCTTTTTTTCTTTTTTTTCTTTTTTTTTTTGGGGTGGGGGGAAACAGTTTTATCCTCCCCAGGAGCTGTGAAGAAAAAAACCGTAACATCTTGATTTTTCTAGACCAAGAACAAGGCAAGGTGATTCTCTGGAGAGAAGTCAATCCCACCTAGTGCCTGACCCTTTGCCACCCACTTACCCCACCCCAAATCTGACTTTTTAGATTCTTGCTTTCTGTGCTTGTTCCTCCCAGGTGAGCTAAGAGCTAGTCACACTTAAAAAGCAAAGCAAAGCAAAACAAAACAAAAAGCCTTTAATAGGGAAGATGGCTCAGAAGTTAAGAATTCTTACTGCTTCTGCACAATACCCGAGATATTCACTCACATGGTGGTGGTGGCGACAGTGCACAGCCATCTTTAACTCCAGTTGCAGGGGATCTAACTCCCTCTTCTGACTTCCATGAGTACACACATGTGCACACACATACAGGCAAAGCACTCAGACACCTAAACTAAGCAAAACAACAAGTTGTTAAGCCCCTCAATCTTCCGCAGCCCATTAAATCCACCAGATCCCTTTCCTCGTGGGGCCTGGTAATGACTGTGGCAAGCAGCCTCAGTAGTAGTGAACGTAGCCTGTTGCCTATATGCATTTCCCCAAGAAACCACGGGTACAGTTTTCTGGTGGATTTTCATATCCCAATGCCTGAGCTCCAGACAGTGGCCAGGGTTCACAAGGATGAAGTCATCATGTCAATTTGCACCAAGTTACAGAATAAAGAGTGTGTGTTTGAGGCCCGCCCTACTCAGAATAGAGCCATGTGCAAGTTCCCTGGCTACCAGAAGATCCATATCTCAAAGTGGGGCTTCACCGAATTTAATGCAGGTAAATCTGAAGGGGTGGTAGTTGAGAAGTGGCTCATCTCTGATGGCTATTGAGTCAAACATAGCCACATTTGGCTCCCCTAGGCAAGTGGAGGGCCTTGTCTAGGCCTTGCCTAGGAAACACTTGAGGGTTTCCACTGTGCTGCAGAGTTCCAACATTCCACCCAACATGCTCAGCAATAGCTCTCACATCAAGTCAGCAAACATAAATCCAAGTGTGGCACATGCTGGTGGTCCCAGCACTCGAGAGGTGAGGCCAGGGAACCAGGAGTTCAAGACCATCCTCAGCTACACAGCAAGTCTGAGGTCAGCCTGGTCTAAATAAAACCATGTCTTTCAAGGGAAACACAGGAAAATCAAAGGTGCTCTAGGCCTTGGGTTCCCAGGCCTGTCATCCCAGCACTCGAGAGGCTAAGGCAGGAGGATTAGGAGTTTGAGGCCAGCCTGGATCTGTCTACAGAAAAAAAAGAAGCTCAGAGGTAGAGTGCTTGCCACGACTGTCTCCCCACTAACCCCCACATTTCCCCCGTGAATTCCTTATCATTTTCCTCCCGTGGTATGCTTTTTTACATACCAAGTGCTGGGATCACGCACCGTTTATATGGTGCTGGTGACTGAGCCCAAGGCTGCATGGATCCTAGGCAAGCTCTGTACTAATTGAGGTGCTCTAGTCTTGCTTTATCTGTGTGTGTATAAACACATGCACACACACACATGCAGAGAGTGGGAGACCAGGGATAATTTTCAGGGGTCTGCTCACTGCTTCCACCATGTCGGTTCCAGGAATCAAACTCATGTTTTCCAGCTTGGTATCAAGTACCTTTACTCCCTGAGCCTCCCTCTGGCCCTTTAAGTCTTTTTTTGACATGTAAGCCATAACTACTCATTAAAAGATCACTAGTACTTAAGTACTGTATACCGGTTGCTTGTTATTTCCTAATTTGCACCCTGCCTACTTATCCAGCCAAGACAAATTCTGTCTCTTTCTTGGCTTCTAGACTATTCTAATTCCAAAAGGACCCTAACTCTCACCTTCTGCTGACAGTGAAAGTCTATGATGGTTAGTTTTATTTTGTCAACTTAAAACAAGCTAGAATCATGTGGGAAGAAGGAACCTCAATTGTGAAACTGTCCCTATGAGTTTGGCCTGTAGGCAAGCCATGGGGATTTTCTTGATCAATGACTGATGTGGAGGAGCCCAGCCCATTGCACACTGTGCTATCCCTGGGCAGATGGTCCTGAGGTGTGCAAGAAAGCAAACTGAGTGAGCATGAGAACTACATGCCTAGCCCTAAGTTAATACTTGCTGCTAAGCGGAGGCATATGCCAAGCGTATGTGAGGGATACAAGGAGCATAGTCATAAACCAGGTGTGACGGTGCACACCTTTAATCCCAGCACTCGAGAGGCAGAGGTGGGCAGATTTCTGTGAGTTGAGGCTAGCCTGGTCTACAGCATGGGTTCCAGGACAGCCAGGGCTACACAGAGAAACCTTGTTTTAAACAAACAAACAAACAAACAAACAAACAAAACAAAGAGCACAGTCTGATGGTGAAGACAGAGGGAAGCTCAACGCTGTGGTAGTTCATAGGGGTAAATGATGGGGCTATGGGACTTGGGGGAGTCTGGGCAAGGCTTCTCTGGGGACATGAATGATATACCAACAAGGAAAGGAACTGGGAGACATTGTGAGACAGATTAATCTTGGGGTGGTTCTCACTCATTAACTTCAGCAGCTGTGTCCAGAGCCCACCATTATTAAAAGAGCCTGTGAAAATGTTCATTATTCTCAAGGGGAGAAGAACCTTCAGGTAGAAGAAAATGTTTCAATGTGTAAGTTTCCAGTGCAGATCTTGTTACTGAACCAGACTCATTTTCATACTTCACCTCGCAGTGAGCTGGCCTCTAAAGCCATCAGTGTAGGGAAAGAGAGCTTATACACTATTCATAGAAGACCAAACACCAGGAGGGGAGCCCCAGACTCAATTCTATTGCCCCAGGATAGGGATCCAAGGATACCTAGATGCTTAGGGGATGAAAAACAAGGGTTAGAAACATGCTCAGAAATAAGGGAGGGGAAGGTACCCTCTGCCTGCACTTGTACCAAAAGACTTCTTGATTTCCCACTAAACCCGAGTTAGACAAAGGCAGTTTTAAACCTGTGGGTAGGGTTGGGCCCCATGACATCCAAAGCTCATCTGTTTGAGCCATAGAAGATTATTTCCAATTCATTCCTGCCCCACTCTCACCCCAACTCCCAACCCCGCAAAGAAAAATCTACTTAGAAGACCTAGGTGTTTGGACCTCAGAGATATTGCCTATAGTACAGCAGGCTGGCTCCACTCAGCCTTCCTCAGCTTCACAACTTCAGTGGTCATTGGTTTCAACACTGTGTGGAGGCCAGACATCAACCTCAGGGTCATTCCTCAGGTGCCTTGTTTTTTAGACGAGGTCTTTCACTGGCCTGCGGCTTGCCAGTTGAGCTAAACTGGCTGGTCACTGAGCCTCAGGGGATTCACCTGTCTCTGCCTCCTTATACTGAGATTACAAGCTCACGTCACCAAGTCTGCCTGGCATTTTTTATGTGGGTTTGGGGATTAAATTTACATCCTAATGGCACTTTACAGGCTGAGTCAATACCCGAGTCCAGACCTTTGCATTGTAACTAGGAAGGCAGGATAGCTAAAGTGTCTGAAGAGGGTGATGTTAATGTCATCATGGGGACATTCATGCTACCATATTCTAAGAAGCATCCTTAATGTAGAAGGGACTTGTTTAGGCAAAAGTGTATGGGACCTGTCAAAATCTCTCTCTCTCTCTCTCTCTCTCTCTCTCTCTCTCTCTCTCTCTCTCTCTCTCTCTCTCTCTCTGTGTGTGTGTGTGTGTGTTTGTGTGTGAGGTGGTGGTGGTGTGTGGTGGTAGAGATGGCTTAGGGAGTAAAGGCACTTGCCACACAAGCCTGATGACCTGAGTTCAATCCCTAGAACCTACATAAGGAAGGAAGGAGAGAACGAAGCCTATGAAGCTATCTTCTGACCTCTCCATAACACATATGTGTGCACGCATGCACACACACACACACCGAGTAAAATAAAACCAAGAGCTTGGGAGACACTGGTCTTCCTGTTCATCCATGGAGAACTTGCTGATCTCCCAAGTAGCCTTTGTGGCCCCGGGTCCTTTGTTGTGATCCTCAAGGTTGATCATTTTCTCCTATAGTAGGGGACCTCTTTGTAAGTTCTGGCAGTGGAAGCCACCTCCGCTCAATGGCTTTCACGTGTCCCAGGACTCCAGGGCCAAAGTCCTGTGCATGCCAAGTTCTGTTTGTTGCCTGGCTTCTACATGGATGTTGGCAGAGGAGGCAGAAATTCCAGGAATATAAATTCCTCCTTCCTCTTGGCACCCCTTCATCCTCCTCCTCTCCCACCCCCTCCTCAAACAGTTCTCAGGCCTTTGCCCATTTGGGAAACAAGTGGCCAATTGTCTCTGGGATCATCATATCTCTAGGGAAAGGCTGCACTAGGGCCAGATAAAACTGCCGTAGGCTTTGAATGTGGGATTCAACGAGGGTTGCTGGGTAAAGCCAGGGGACCAGCAGGGCAGGGGAGGCAGGCTGAGCAGGGAGACACAGATATGAGCAGAGGGATCCCTAGAGAGGGAGAGGCATGTGGTCATTGTGGAACCTCAGAAGGCAATGGGTTCTGCAGCACAGCACGAAGGAATAGGGCATAGAAAACAAGAAGACCCCAAATTACAAACCTGTACTTTTTCTAGGAGCCTCTCATTCCTCTGGCTTCCTTCACCTCACTAATGAACCGTTGTCACTCATTCCAAAGAACTGTCACTCCCTGGGTGAATACCTAAAAAGCCACAGTGATCAGGACATTTGCCTGCTTAAAATCCTCCAGGCAGAATATCTTGGTTTTCCTATGTGCTCCCCATCTGGCAGTCTTGGTGAAATCTACAGATTTCTGCCTGGTATCATGGCTTTAAAGATGTAAAATGAAACACACCAGTGTTATTAAGACAACCAATTATATTAAGACACCACTATCACATATTTCCAGGCTGGACCTAGGGTTGTAGCTCAGTTGGTAGAGCGCCTGCCTAGTCTGCAGGAGGCCCTGGGCTGGATCCTCAGCACTGCATAAACTGTGTGTGCCTGTTGGTGCATACCTGTAATCTCAGCATTCAAGCGGAGGCTGCAGAATTGGAAGTTGAAAGTTATCCTGAGCAACATAGTGTGCTGAGGCCAGCCTGGGATACACGAAACCCTGTCTCAGAACATATTTTATATATGGCTAAGTTGGTAAAACACCTGCCTAGCACACGGAAGGCTCAGAGTAAATCATTAGTCCTAACAAATCCTTTAAAAAAAAAAAGATGTGTTTGTTTTTACTTTATGTGTATGAATGTTTGTCTATATATACTTATGTGACCCACATGTCTGATACCCTGGAGCTTGAGTCACAGGATTTTGGAAGCTGCCTTGTGTGTGTGTGCCGGAAACCCAACTCAGGTCGTCTACAAGAGAAGCCAGTGTTCTTAACTATGAAGCTATCTCCCCAGACACATTGTTTCTGGTTTCTGAGACAGGGTGTTGGTCACAGGTGGGCTAGCCTGGAGAATGCTATGCAGCAACAGAGACAAGGAGAAATGGGCCTCAGACAAGGTGCAATGTGAAAACCAATTCTCAAAAGTTGTCCTCTCCTGGGTGTGGTGGTGCACACCTTAATTTTAGCACCAGAGAGGCAGAGGCAAGTGGATCTTTATGAGTTTGAGGCTAGCCTGGTCT